GTAATTTGCAATTTATATTAATAAATTAATAAGATAAGTAAGAAAATTAACAAATAAAAATTTTGAATCATAAGTAAAAGATACTTGATTTTTTTATAATTGAAATTATTTTTATTTTTATTCTTTTAAATTAAATTGAAATTTTAAAATTTTTTAACGCTCACCAATAATTATGTCACATTTTCGTCCTTATTTAAAATTCTCCCAAAATCTTTCTCGTGCATTGTGCACTGTCCATGCATCTGGCTCTCGTATTTATCTTGGGGACCCATCACCATTCATATGCACTAGATGATGGGATTTGAATCCTGTTCAGATTTTTAATCTAGATTTAATATATCATTTTATATTTATTAAAATAAAAATTATAAATTTTTAATAAATATTTTCATCATTAATCTAGTGTAAATTTAATTTAGAGGGAATGATTTAATATTTAAACTTTTATAAACTTTATATATTAATTATTCAGATATAATATTTACAGTCCATATTTAATGTTAATTTTTTAATAAATTTTATAAATTTTTATTTTGACAAGTACAGGATTTAAAATTAAAATATATAAAATTGGCATTTTTAAAAAAATTAAAAGTTAAGAATTTTAAATTTGGACTATGCAAATTACATCCAAATGATAAATATATAAAAATTTTAATATTAAATTGAATTTTTTAAATTAAATCTAGACGGTTGATGATAAAAAGATTTATTAATTTTTTATAATTTCTATAAATATTTATTTTAATAAATATAAAATCATGCTTTAAATATGAAACCTGTATGGTCCACATTTTATCACCCATGATAAGCACCCAACATGAACTCTAATATCACCTTTCGAGGATTCACTTCTTTTCCATTTATCCTGTCTCCTCTTCTCTTTTAATCTCGATCATTATATCAAAATTTCAAAAGCTAAGATTTTATATTTTATAAAAATATTATTATAAATTTATATTATCATCATTTAAAACAATAAATTTAAATTTTATAATAATAGCTTTATAAAATATTACATATAAATTATTGAAGCTGTCGTCTAATAACTGCAGGAAAATGGGAGGAAAGGAGAAAGAAGAGGATCCTTTTCGAGTGAGATAAAGATAGTTCCACTTTCTTTCCATGATATTTCAGTCAAAATTTTTAAAAATTATTTATTATTCACTTTTTATCCTATTTGAGTCGATTAATAATGCCAGACCAACAGTTGATATTAAACATACAATAAGAGGTTTATACTGATCTCTACCTGTACCTATACAGGTAATGTTATATTTTCAGTGAAGTAACGCATTATGACATTAAATACAGTTGATAGTATTATGTAAGTGCTATAAAATTTTTAATTATCTCAAATTTAAGTAAACTTTGTATTATATAACGAGAGATTCACTCATCAAATCATTTTCATACATGAATTTTTTTCATCCCATAATACTCTCTAATTCAAATTCAAATTTGAACAATGTCAACTTTAAATATAAATAGCTTGTTCATTCTGATTTTTTTGTTTATAAGAATTAAATCTTTTTTATTCTTTTTTGCCAACATAGCTTCTTTCTTTCTTTCTTTTTTTTGATTCAATGTAACTGACTTTAGTACTCCAATTTATTTAAAGGGTTAATAAATCAATAAGGCCTTAAACTATTGCTTGAAAATCATCCTGAATCTTAAATTTTTAAAATATATAAAATAAATTTTAAATTTTTAAATTCATAATAAAATAAACTCTTGCCGTTAACTTTTTTAATGTCGTTACCATTTATGGTAGTTCAGTAATAATTAGAATTAAATTTAGAAAACTAAACCCAAAACAATACCCATGCAAATATTAATAGTGTTAAAAAAATAACAGTCAGGATTTATTTTACTATAAATTTAAAAATTTAAAAATTATTTTATATATTGTAAAAATTTAAGGTTCAGGGTAATTTTAAAATAAAAATTTAACATTTTATTTACTTATTAATCCTTATTTAAATTGGACGAACAACACTGCGAGGGGTCCAAATCATCATCTGGCCCACTGATCACCATCGTCTTTCTTTGCATTCATTCACAAAAGAACATGCTAGAAAGTCAAATCGCCCATGCATATCAACACCCTCGGCAACGTGGCACAATCAAACAACCAGCATTAAAATTATCCAATGTCCTGAAAAAATAAAAAATAATATAATTTACCACAATATCCGAATATTTAAATTTTAAACTTCAGATTAAATTAAAATATCTTGGTAGAAGATAAGCCTTGAACGAGAATACCATGTAGATCCCAACTTTGGTTTCAGAAGCATTTAAGTAGGCATCAGCACACCGAATCTCCAATACCGGCTTCATTCGTACGGTTTCACAATATTGCGACTCTATGGTGGCGCCGCTGGTACCGTAGCCGAATCAAGTTGAGAGGCAATACCGGGTGGTCCAGTCGGGTCAATATTCTATAAATTCGAACCCGATCTTCCTCGTTGTTGTGCTGTGAGTTCTCACTCGTCCGTGGCTTGAGTGTTCAGTTTGACTGTTCCTGAGTGCGCCGGCTTCGATTTGTACCCGATCCGTCTTGTGTTTTTTGGATTCGCATTCTGTGTGAGAGGTTATTGGAAGAGATGATACTGGTGGCTGTCTTGGCGGAGGTGCTGGAGGAGTACACGGCGGTTCTGGTGAGGGTCGTGGAGCAAGTGTTCCGCTCCGCCCCCGTTCCCCGCCGGGTTCGTTTCCTCATACTCCATAGCCTTCCTTTTACCTCTTCTCGCCCTCGGCTTCTGGCTCCTGTTTCGTACTGATTCGATTCTTTGGACTGGATGTGCAGCTTCTATAAATTTTGTTTTTGTTGAAGCCTATGTGACAATATCACGGTGCTTGTTCGTCATCTTTTCTTCTCCTCCAATTTTTTTTCCTTCCTTCTTTTGCTTGAGTTTTTGAGCTTTCTCTTCTCGATCTGTGTATATTCTTCTCAGAATTGTATAATTATTTTGGTTTTGGCCTCAATCGCAGATAATCTTTGGTTAAGATTTTCAGTGATTTTACAGTTACTCTGTTCTGTTCTTCCCCTCCCTCTAGTTAGCGATGAATTGGACATAAAATTCGAAACGGCTTGTTAATTATTATTATTATTTTTTTTGTATACGGAGGCGATTAATTAATAATTTCTGGTTTTGATTCTGACCTTCTTGCATTCTTTGAACCGAAGATTGGACAGGCAGTCGTGACTCCTTTGTTGAGAATCTTTCAGGTAGATTTCATCGGTTGCATCTTCACTGCAATTATGAACTGTTGGGATCAATAATAACGTTATAGATTAATACTACATATTTAAAAATTTTCAACTCTAAATCTAAATTATCAAATTTAATTGTAGGTTACAAAGTCTGTTTGAGGGGTGAGTGAGAGACAGAAGGGAGGGAAGTGCTCGGTGCTGCTCGAAGAACGCAGAACTTCGTGATGGCTATTATTTTGTTATTCTTGAAGGACGCTTGGGTATTGGTAGATTAAAGAAAAATTATAAATGAGAATATTAATTTTTAAATAATTATGTTAAAAATAATTAAAAAAATTGATCATTTCATTCATATAATTTTCACTTTACAAAAGTTTAGTTGTTAACCTCGATGCAATTTAATTTCAATCATTTGACTCAATTATATCTTGGTTTATAAATGTTAACTCAACTCAATTTTTACGATAATTTTATTTTTTAAAATATAAGGATAAAAATTAACAAGTTTTAAGTGAGTCAAGGATTAAATGATTAATTTAAAAACTTATATTTTAGATAATTTAATATTGAAAAGTGAAAATGTTTTAACTGTATGTTTTTGTGAAGCCGAAATTCTTAATTTTAAAGATTTTTGAAAAAGTTTTTGATATAATTAAAAAAGGTATATAGCGGACTGATGGAGCAAAAGATGTCTCTGAATTTGGACACCGATGACGGCTGAAAGGTTATAGACTTATAGTCGATCCATACGAGAAGAAAAAATCATCCATTGTCGTAAAATAATGAGTATTATGATTTATTGCTTAAAGATATATAAAAGTAAGAAATAAGTTTTATATTTGAGAGTTTAGCATATATCCAAACATCAAGCATGGGATTGAATAGATAAGGTTCATAAAATCGTTGTCTTACATGAGATCATTGTTTCGTGATTAGAGTTGGGTGTGACATGATGGCTGGAAGAATTATGGTCGTGTAAGATAGACTAGTTGTTTTTTAGGTAAGTTGGTGTTTTCTCATCCAAACAATTTTGTATATTCATGCTTATCACTTCCTCCAAACATAATTATCTTATCAACTAATAAGTAGCTTATTTACAAGTAGCTCTCCCCCCCTTCCTTTTTTGTCAATAGCAAGACACAGATTAAAGAGAAGAAACAAAATCAAAACAACAAATTTAAATAAATTATCGAATTGATAGAAAATAGTTTCCAAATCTAAAGCATCTTAATTTCATATATTTTTCTCCATCATGAATAATATATTTTGAAGATATTTAGAATTAAAATACTGTTAAATAGTATAATATGTTATTTTTATTTTAAATATAAATATAATTGACCAAGGTAATAAGTGGGTTGGTGGGGGAAAAATAAAATGTTTCATAAATTCTTTCACTTCAATTTAAAGTTCTAAGGGGTTTTATAAGATTGAAAAGGTAAACAACTCTCACTGCTAGGTCACAATATATTGGAATTTCTGCTTCATATTGTTTTCAATAAAACCTTCTTGAAAAAGTATTGTAATAATGTTTTCAACGATGTCAGTAGATGATATTTGAACCATCTCTTTTTTATTCATATCAGTATTTCATATAGAGGTTATTATGTCAGCAATACTGTCCTTACCCATGATAAATTAAAATAATTGTTGCCCTTGACTTTTGATATAATCAACATGCTCTTTTATTAATTTAATAATATTTAATTTCTTATTATTTAATTTATTAATTTCTAATTTATTTTATTATATTTTTATTAATTATTATTTATATTTATAAATTCTATTTGAAATTGAATATTGAAATTGAATTACGTAGGTCATATCATACTTGTTCTTGTGAATAGTGAAAGAAAATAGAATAGTTGGATCAATCAAAGCCATGGAAACACTTGAAATCGGGAAACAAAGGTTTGAAAGTAGTAGTAGAAATTGAAGAGCCTAATATTTATAAAGCATTCTGTTCGTTTCTCTATGGGCATCCAAAAAAACTAGAACAACTCTTAGATTGTCTTTGTTTTGTTAATATTTGAGACCCGATGTGATTATTTTTTTTTAATTTTTCGTTGTGCAGGGGATTGAAAGTAATCTTTGATCTATTCCAAATTAGTTTGGTTTACTGCCTTGCTGTTTCACATTGATTTATTTGGTTGGAAAAAAATATTCCTTTCCACAAAAAAAAAAAAGTTGAAGTATGGGGAATTGAAAGAAAGAAGGCTCCATTTGGTATTTGGGAATTCCAAGGACTTGTTTGGTTCAATTTAAAAGTTTTGGTGGAAAATCACTCTTGTTGCCAATCACAAATCAAAAAACTACTTTAAAATCCTATATTTGTTTTTATCGAAATTATCAATTACTGCTAAATAGTTATTAATTATTATTGCTTAATTGTAATTGAACAATTCAATTAACAATTATCTAACAGTGACTGATAACTTTAATGCAGTAAATTAACAATTTTGATGAAGGACATAGGATTTCAAAGTAATTTGTGATTTCATGAGATTTTTTTATATTGAGATTCTTTATGTGAGATGTTAGAATGATTTTTTTTTTTTTTGGGGCACAAACATCAATAAGCCTACAACTTGGGAACATACTTACATATCCTATACTTTCAAACAAAAACAAGACGTTTATATTCGTGGGCTAGCCTGCTTAATAAAGTGAAGGCCCAGGAGAGCCCATGCTTCGAGACTGCCACTTTGTTTAAAAAAAAAATTATAAGTGACCCAAAAAAGAAATTGTAAAACGATCGAGACTGCCATCTCGCTCCCATCTGCCCATTTGATCGTATGCATACCGGTGCCGGTAAGGGGCGAAGGGCGTATGTGCCCAATCATATTGTCGCTGTGACAGTTGTGAAGTTTGGGAACTGAAGGGGAGAGATGGCCACAGAGAAGACTAAACCGAGACGACTGAGGGGTCACAAGGACACTGCTACGTTCTGTATAGCTTCAAGCACCCGACCAGATATCGTCGTCACTTCAGGCGAGGTACTTTCTCTCTTAACTTATCGTTACCTTAAGCTTTCAGGTGTATATATATGATGGGAGGAGTTGAAATATATTGTTTTTATGAGCTAATTAAAACGAGGAAAACTTGTTATTCGTTCCTCGATGTTTGTTGTCAAGTGTAATTTCTTGTTTTTGGTGCCTCTTGTGTGATTCATTGCGTTTAACTAAAACGCTTAAACTCTACTTTTAGTGATTTTAAAATAAAAGATGGTTGGGGAGCTAAATGGGTAAGGTTTGTTATAATGAGAATCTTTTTGGTTTACATTTCATTGTTCATAATAAGTTAAGGCCAAACTACTTGCCGCCTTTATATTCTATTTGTGTATTGAACGAAATGCTGCCTCTAATATGCTATCAGTTATACTTATAATGAGGAGTCATTTTACTTTTCATCCTTTGATGCTCCGTATTTGCATCATAAGTATTTTTTACTTGTTTCTCATATAACAGGATGGTCGACTCTGCTGGTTTGATATGCGATGCAGAGAAGCTCAGCTGGTTATGGATGCTAGCGAGGAACCCATTTCATCCATGTGTTTCAGGCCAGGTGAAACTCATTGGTCTATTTGTGCATCCATCAAACTATTTTAGTATGAGAAATCTTGATGCTGAATTTGTCCCTAGAAAACTAGTTTTTGATCTATTTTGGTTTCCAATATTTTGTAACATTCATTGATGACCATTCATGGTGCACTTAGTTATATTTTATGAAAAATCATTCTGAAGTTCCCTTAATTTTTTCAATCCTTTAGCGCTGAAGTCAAGAGTCAATTTGGTACCTCTAATTATTTTATGCAGTGATAATGCATATGGATATTTTTCTGATTCATTGCAAACCTTTTTATCTTTACAAAGCATTTTTCTCCAATATTCATGTGCTCATACTTTGCAACAAAATAAAGCGATGAGGAAAAAAATCAACATCTCATTAGACTGCTCACAATCATTCTGCACATTGTAAGAGGGAGAATCATCTTACATATTCAAACACTTTCACAAGTACAATTTCATGGCTTGTGCCTTGGTATTGTCATCTGGTGTAGCATGATGCGCTCAACACAGACAATATGAATGTTGCTTATTTTGATGGTTTTTATGGCCCTAGTTGCACAGTCTAGCCCCAATGGTTCAATCTTTTTCCGTTATTTCGCTCATAGCATTCACACAAATTTGGTTCTTCTTCTCTGCTTCCTCATCATTATTCATTAGTTATAACTTATGAGCATGTGCTAAACATATTCCTCAGTATGCCATGTTTTGGTATGATTTTTATAAGGAGTATTATATATAAGTCCATATATTGCATTAAGTTTTTGGTGGATTGTTGACACTAGTAATATTTCTCATATGTTATGAAAACACTTTTTGCTTGTGTCAGGGAATGAAGATATCATTTATGTCTCCTCAGGAAAGGAAGTCAAATGTTTTGATGTGAATCTGGTAACCACTTTTCAAGAATTGCACCATATTTGAGTTTTGGCAATTCCATCTAATATATTTTCCATATAAAATTCCTTTTATATTTCAAGGTTTTCTTAATTGGTTTACTTATCTTGTAATTATGTATATTTTTTCTGAAGGCAACCTCATGGAAGCCTTTGGAGAGCTATAATTACAATAAAGAGGATATAAATCAGGTAGGTGTTATTGTTATTGTTTGTATTTAAGTTTGATGTAATGGTAATATCCTAAATATTGGAATTTAAAGCCCTTTTCTTTCTTGGTTGTTATTTTCTGTCTTTGTAGCTCCACATGTCTTAAATATTGGAATTTAAAGTCCTTTTCTTTCTTGGCTGTTATTTTCTGCTTAGTGTCTGTTAGTTCATTGCCTAACATTTTGTTAATGTTTTGCTCTTGTGACTGTCAACAAGTTCTTTTACTTTTGTATTGCTTTTAATATTTTATGTTCTTTTACCTAACATTTTTTATGAAAGGAAACATCATTGATATATAGGTAGTAATCTTGTTGAATCATTCTTTCTAATTGAATATTTTTTCTTGTCTGTGCAGATTGTATGCAACTCAAAATCTTCCTTTCTTGCTGCCGCAGATGATAGTGGTGATGTGAAAGTATCTCATTTTTATCCTTCTTTTTTCCTCCCCCCCTTAAGAAACATCCTTCTCACTTATTGTCCTTTCTTTGAATTAATGAAATATGGAAGAATTATCATTTTAAAGTTTATGGCAAAAGAATTCTCTAGTTTAGGTACAACTAATTAGACATACAAGTGGTTATGGTATTTTATTAACTACCATAAATCTGGCTATGCATTTGAAAATCTCACTGACAACATGACATAACATAGGTGAAGTGTTTGTTTGAAGGCTTTCTAATAAAATTATAATTTGTGGAAGCATTTCTTAAAGGAATCAATCTTGCAGTGTTGAACTTTGTCATGTTTTTACTAAAGAGGACTTGAAATCAAATGTTTAAGTTAAATTATGTACAACAAGCTACTTGATTATGTGGTATGTGATGTCAAACCTGTGATTCTACTGTAGTATATTATTTAAATTTCTTAGTTAACTGTACTATTTTATTTGTGCATCCATCTTTCCCCCCTTGATCAGCAGAAGCACTCTCTTCTGATAGTTATTATATCTAAAGAATGTTTCAATCTAGTTAGAACGATGTCTAGTTTTTGAATAATTAAGTCAGGAAGTTTTCTCCAGTCTCCATTAGTTTTGACTTTGAAAAAAGCTGAATCTCTCTATTGCTTTTAAATTTATAGAAAGCTGCGTTGTATTATGTTTCATGTTTTAACTGTTACCTAATGTCTCTTTGGCAGGTAATTGACATTCGCCAAAAGTGCTTATATAAAACACTGCGATCTGGCCACACAAGTGTATCCTTCGTTTATTTGCTTGTACGATGCAACCTTGCCCTTTTCCATTGCTTCCCTATATAGAGCTAAGCATGAACGTTAAAAAAAAAAAAACACTATGCTTTCTCTATTTGTAGTCTTTTCTGGCCTTTTTTTGGGTTACATTGAATAGGTTACCGAGTTTGTTGCGATCAATGAATAGGTCAAAGGCAAGTGGTAGGGGTTAGGCTAGTGCTCTTTGAAATCTTTGATAATTCATCTCTGAGAATCATTCAGTTATGTTGATTTTTTTTGAGACTTCTCCCATGCAGTTGTTGTGTCCCTTTTGCTTTTAGTTCATGTCTTTTAATATTTCTGCTGCTCACAACATCACTATTGATGCCCTGCAATGTTGCTATTACCATTTCATCTTGATCCACCACTGCATGTTATGCCACACCTTGAACAGTATCGTTGCCTAAATCTTGCTTTTCAAAATATCTCCATTTTCCCCTTGTCCAGTTCACCCCTTTCCAGATTGGTTTTTGATTGGGCTAGACTAGTTCGTTGTTTTATTGGTGAGATCTTTTCACTTTTGCAATATGATTTTGTTAATCTTTATCTTGTTCTTCAACATCATAAAAAAATCTGATATCATGCACAGCTAGTTCAGCCATTCTGAATGGCCGTAGCTGTCACCTCTTGTTAAAAGGTATGACGGGGTTTTGAAAGGGTCATAAATAGTGGAGATGCGTCACTAGTGATATCAAATACTTAGTTTGCTGAGATATTGGAACTGTAAAATATGCTGATCAATTACAAGATTGGAACTGTTAATGTTATCAAATCATCACATGTTTTTGAAAACACTTTCACAGCTAGTATCCATTTTGATTGCTTAAGAGGTATGAGATCATTTTGATAATTGTATATTCTGATTTTTCAAATCAATTTCAACTTTTAACAAAATTTAGCATCCTAAAGTGTGAACAATGACAGCCTATTATAACTTCTGACCAAAGATGGAATCTATTTGGGATCAATTGGCATCCTCTAAACCATCACACTCGTGATATTTGATCCCAACTGTATACCCTCTTGGCTAAGAAATCAAAACAGAAGATATCTTTGTTATTTCAGGACGTTGAGATCTTTGAAAAGCTGAAATTGATTTGGTAGTTCGTAAGAGATATAAGGGCTGTCAAAATGATCCCATATTCTTAAGCAGTCTTGTGTTGTCAAAATTGCTCGATGATATGATGATTTTTTCTATCATAATCTTCCAATTAATCAATATATTTTTTTATTAGTTTTGGTATTTTTGTGGACTAGGTATTTGATATCACTAGTGATTTATAGCCACAAGTTGCAACCTTTAAGAAACTGTTATACATTCTGACAAGATAAAATGTTTGGAGGCACTCAAAATAACTCAAATAGGCTATGATATATAAGACATTTTCATAATTTTGGAAAACATACAATAGAGATGGATTTGACAAAAATCAGATTAAGAAAAATGAAAAGATCTCATCCAAAAACCTTGAGAATTGGTATAACCCAATCAATAACTTGTCTGGACAGGGTTTAATTGAACTGGTGCAAAATTAGAGTTTTTTCACAAAATGGGGTGTGCCAAATGGTTATTATTACTTTGTTTGGTGTGTGTAGTGGTGGTGGATTAGGTTGAGATGTTAATGGCAATGTTGTAGGAGGATGGCAGTGATGCTTATGTGGCATGGGGGAATAGGGGATGTTTGGAAGGATGCAAACCAAAACCAAACAGAAGCAGCTACATCAAAGGAAAAAGTCTAAAAAATAAGAGCAGACCATCATATCTAAATGGTTGTTGGTTGGATAGAATCATCAGAGATTTAAGATCAAGAGTTGGCATTGTTTTCATAAAAGCTTGGTTCAGATCCAGGGATAAAAGTGAGCTTTATAGAGAAAAAACAGGTGGCTGTATGGAGAATTTTTTAAATCTGAATTGTCATGCTCTTCATTCAGCATATATAACTATATACAAGAGAGAGGCTAAATACAGAATATGCAATACAATAAATACAATTAGTCATAATAAATATAGTAGGGCTCAGTTTAAGCTGAATAGAAATCTAAACTAAATAGGAAACATGTATTAAATTACATTAAATTGTATTGAAGGCTCAAAATATGTTTTTGAGCCATTGACTCATTTTCTCCTCACTTTTCTTTTGTTCCCCTTTTTTACCTATCATTAATTTCAATTGCTGTTGTTGCTGTTTGTTATTAATTTATTTATGTGTTTATTTATTTTTTAAATATAATGTTACCTTGACCCTTCGCTGCTAGATTTGTAGCAGTGTGCAATTTCTTCCTTGGAGATCTTGGGAAGGTTTTCTATAATCCTGTTTATATTTGTTTGTTTACAACCAAATCTCACACATGCTGCGTGGTGTACTTTGTCATCTTGGATGAGGTTAACTAATTGTAGCCTGTCTGTCCATTATGCTTTCAGTTACTTGTTAAATTTCTATTCCAGTTGAAATTAGTCCTAGAAGTTTGTATCAAATCCTGTCCACTAAACTCTTCCTCTTTTATACTTGCACGTGGACCATTAAATTGCTTAGAAATAGTCTGTTAAATATCTTTTCTGTTTGAAAATAGTCCAAGATATTTGTATCGAAACCTATACACTAATTCTATTCTCTCTTATACTTGCACATGGACCATGAAACTGCTTGGATATAGTTGCTTTGTTTTGGAGGACATGATTTTTGATTGCTTGTGGAATGCATTATCTGGTTGGCAGTTGTTTATTAATTGAAGTTAATGGAAAATACAGTGAAAGTGTATACCATTTTGAGTATCATGGGTGGTTTTCCTTCTTTTTCCTGATTTTTTTCCTGCCCGAGTGTTGACATTGGAAGTGGGGTGACCTTTTCCTAGGGATGATTGCTTGAGTAGATTTTGAGGTCTATTGGTATGTTATTAGCAATTTTCTGGTTATATTTTATTGGTTCTGTTGTGCGAAACTTGAATCAGTTGCTCTGAAATCTTATATAACTGTTCAAGAGATATTAATCTTGACTACCAAAAGGTTTTGAAAATAATGTTTTTAATTTGACTCTTGTTTTTGTTCTTGGCTAGTTATTAGTGGAGGCCTTGATTCAAAGCTTCTAATGTGGGACTTCTCCAAAGGGCGCTCATCTGAGGTTATGGATTTTGGTATATTCTTTCCTGTAACTACTTTTTTCTTCTGTAAATAGGCTTGCACACATGTACTAATGCCTGTAGTAAAAGGGAAAGTTTAAATTGTTGTTTTGGTTTTTACTCCTTAGCATTTCGCTCAATTTTTAGTTTGGTTATAGTTTAAAAATATCATTAGGTCTCTATATCTACATTTCTAGTTTGGCCGGCTATTACCATTTTGACCATCCGAACAATAGTGATTGAAGCAAACTCATGCAAGTCACTTACGAGTTGATTTAATTTTATATTCACTTTTATCCGTTGTTTTTTGGGCACAAATCCTGCTTATTCTGAGGGTCATGATGGCATATGGTGGCTGCTGTATCAAAATGCAAGGGACCTCTGATGAAAGTTTCATAGCATAAAATAAATTAAAAATATCAATATATATAATAATAGCTAGCCGCACTATTAACAAATTATAAACAATAGAACTTATTCCTTAGATTCTATGTAACACGCTCTCTAGTATTAAGATATAAGGACTGGATTATACATTTTTAAATTATACGGATCAATTTGAAGATCTATAGGGACTAAACAATAATTTAAACTAAACAAAAGTTATGATGCAAATGGGAAAATAAAAGGTAAAATAGATCACTGACTTTGCAATTGTGCCTTTTCTTTACTGCAGGTTTGCCTGACTTGACAAGTTCTAGCAGCCTGGGCCAGTGTTTAAATCCTGCTTTCGTTCATGCAGTTGCTGTTCCAGAGGTTGACATGCTTGATAAATTCGACAAGGTATGTGCTGTAGCTAGGGGTGATGGTGCTGTAAGTGTAATAAGTATTGAATCAGGCCTCGCAGCTCCAAAAGCAAAAGGCTCCATAAAACCCCGGAAGGGATCTCAATCAAAATCAAAAGATGGCAGTTCATCTACCAATATGGGTGCGGATCAAAATGGAAAGACACTGCATTTGGATTCCTCATTGGGTGGCCATTCGGCGGCTGTTTCTTGCGTGTAAGCGAATCACTTGCCTGACTGGTGGTAAAGACTGATTCATTGTGCTAACAACTAGAAAATTCAGGGCCTTTTCGTTATTTGGAGAGAGAGGGAAGTACATACTATCTGGTGGAAATGACTGCTCGGTGAAGTTATGGAATTGTTCCAGTTATTTTCATGCTGGATCAAGCAGCAGCAACAGCGATTTTTTATATATGAACATCACTCTGCCTGAAAAAGTGAGTTCTTTTATAGTTTCATTGGAACTTCTTGGATGCTGTTTTCTTATTCTTCCTTTTTTTATCTGCTATGGATTTATTGTACTGATATTTTGGCAGGTCAATTGGCTGTGTACCCGACCTGCTGAAACAAACAACCTTATTGTATGTGACACATCAAAAGTAGTAAAGGTTTATTCTGTAGCATAGATAAATCCAGGATGGGCATGGTTCTCCTTCTTTGGGACGGAAATAGAACTTTACTGTGACAGTTTGTGTTGATGTTGGACTTGTTCTGAAGATAGCTCAGTGCTTCCTAAACTTGTGATCCGGAGAGTTCATATTGCAGGGTACAGCTTAAATTATAGGGATTTTAGTTGGCCTATGTTTAGCTTACTGCTTAAGGGTTGTCTAGCTGTTTCAATGATGTATAGGAATTTATTAATGATTGGTGGTTGTCTTGTTCACTTGTAAGGTGTAATAGGTGAAAATGATAATTTCTTTCAGCGGTTTTTGCCCATTACTTTGTGTACCAGTGACTGAAGATACCCTTACTTTGAGATTATTGTGTTATATTTTGGTTTAATTATATGCTCTCGTTTTCATTATTATTATTTTTTGATATGGTTCTTTCAGATTAAAAAATATATATATTTAAGCTATTATAGTTGTAAACAAATTTTAATTCAAGTTCCTATCCTTTAATTTTCTTCAACATGTTGATGTGTCCAAGCTGTGTTATTTTCATATTTTGAATATGTACGATTCAAGTCAAATAATCAGAACACTTGTGAGTTGGATTATATGTTAGAAGTTAGCGAGTTATATTTCTTTATGAATTTTGTTATGTTGCCATAAATTATGCAAATTTATGTGTAGGGATGTCAGGTTGCCCCGCGGGGCCCGGGGGGGCTTGGTAAAGGTGGCATAGTTACATCAAGGAAGTTTCACCGTACATTGAAAGAAGTTTAATGGGAATTCTAAGCTGGAAAAAGGAGGAAGGTGGTATTAAACTCTCAATAGTTTACGTTAAATTTTATTGAATGTAAGAATAAAACATTTCTGAAGAAAGTTGAATAGGAATAAGCATTGATAAAGTATAATTGTATGTTATAATTATATTTAATCAGTAAACATTGAAATAAAATTCAAAATTTGTTTGGAGCAACGTCATCATTTAAACCCAAATTTGTAATAAGTTATGCTACTTATAAGCTTGTAATAATCTGATGAACTGCAACTTACAAATTACAAACACTTGTCTACAATATGGGAAGAATACTCAAGAGAATAACATAGAAGTCTTAAAAGAAAAATAATAGTAGTTAGATTTTTGATAATTTTTTTTTTTGAAAGAGTTGCAAATATTAATTTAAACAGTTACAAATAAGAATTTTAATGGTAAATTAAAAGATGCATTTATAATTTCAATGTTTTATTTATAGTTGGAACTTTTGAATTTATAATTATTGGAATTGATATTTACAATTTTTTTGAAAAAAATTATTGAAGACCAAATTATCATTAATTCACACTTTTAGAACTTAATTTTCCTTTTTTTAAAATTATTTTTTTAGCATTTTATGAAATAAAAATGTAATACCGGGCAACTAGAGATGGAAATAGGCAAATTATATGGACAAAATTTTAGATTAAAAAGCATTGTTGTCCTGGAAATATTCATGAAAAAGATATTGGTATCCAAAATTTAATATTGGTGTTTTTTTCCCCTCACCAAAACACGTTACATCACACTTCAGGGTGCTCTATCGTTTGCCATTCCAATTAGGTATTCTCTAGTGAAAAAAAAGTCCTTCAATTTGTACTAATGACCAACTAGCAATTCTATGATATGTTATGTATCTATTTGAGTTAGTATTGTTAGCTGATTCATGATAAACATTATCATGTTATGCGAATCAATCTTTTCTAATTGAAATCCAAACACAACTTATACTATATATAATATAATTAATTATATTTAAAATCAATCATATTAATAAATTCTTTTATGAATATCCAAACGGGTCCTTCAATGTTATGCGTCAAAATTAATTATAATCTAATTAATATAATTTATTTTAATTATAATTGATTATATTATACTGTATAATTAATTTATAAAATTAATTTTAAGCAGAACTGAAAAATAGAATTATATTGAAAAGCAGAGTTAAAAATCAGGTAAAATTATGATTTTATGAAAATATATCTAAATACTTTTTTATTTTTCAAAATTAATTATAAATTTAAAATTATAGCTTTTGAAAAATATTTAAACAACTATTTTACATGACAAAAACAAAAAACAATAATGATTTTTTTATAATATTTGAACAAAACGCTGTCAAATACCGTACAGTTATTATATTTTTCCTTTTTTTTTCCTTCTTTCACGTAGTAAAACGTTAGCCCGTTTTCCCGCTTGCATGGTTTTGTCAGTTGAATGAACCCCACCAGACTGAAGCAGTTGCTTCACCTTGCCGCAAAATTTCCAACCTTGTCTCATCATTTTTCAAAATAAGAAAAACGCTTCATCGGATCATCTCCTCTTTGCCCCTTTCTCTCTCGCTCACTGCTTCCTGATTTTGATTTTGGGTGCGAGGTAGTGAGGTACGCGATGACTTCAACCCTTCAACCTCCGGAAAACAGCCTCCCACCACCACCATCCTACTGCTCACCTTTCTTACTGATTCTGTCACCATCCTCTCCCAAGCTCAGCTTTAATGGGCATTTTCTACTTTCATATAAACTCATTACGCTTCACCACTTCAAGAAGCGAAGGCTCCGAGATTATCAGGTTTCCTGGGTCCTTGATCTGAAGGTGGGGCTTAACCTAAGATGACGGAATCTGGGGTTCTCCTCTGCAACACTTGTGGGGAACAAGTTGGGCTTAATGCCAATGGAGAGCTGTTCGTGGCTTGTCATCACTGCGATTTCCCAATTTGCAAGTCTTGTTATGATTATGAAATCAATGAGGGGCGAAGTGAGTGTCTGAGGTGTGGCATTCCCTATGAAGGTAACTGTTTCTTCAACTTTTATCACATTTCTCGAATCTGAATTATTGATATGTGGCCAATATGTTATTCAGTTTCTAGTTTTGTTTATATAAATCGAAATTATGTGATTTTATAACCTTTAGTTAATTTGGTTCTTATAGTTACACCTTTGTTTTATTGCTGTGCATGTGCATGATTCATCCTGACCCAGGATGAATCATGCATATGTGGTTAAATGGATAGGGTGAGTTGGTAGGATTGACTATTTAGAGTGTTAAAAATAAAATGTGGTTAATCATGACAATCAAATTTAACACCTCTAACAAAAATTTAAGGGAGTTCATTTTGTAATTATGAGGTTCCCATTACAATACGGGGGAGAAAATTAAAATTTGAGTGAAATTTTTGAGTTCAATGAAGTAATTTAATCTTTTCCTCCCTCTTTTTGGGGTGAATAATCTAAATGTTGCTATATTTACTATGCAGATTTTTAACTCGTTCTGTTTACTCTCTGGTCCCTTGGTTTTTGGGCACTTGTTAAAGAGACTCAATTAACATATAGCAATAAACTAACCGTTAATCTATCTTGGATATGTTGGAAGAAGGCAAATGAGAATCCTTGACACTATTCCATTTTTATAAATTCATTATTTTACAGCATTTAATTTTTTTATGTTTTATTTATTGTTAGAAATGGTTGCTTTCTTTTCCAATGCATGTCGTCTTCATTTAATATTCTCTGGCATTTGTGAAATATCCTAATGTATGTGTCTTTTTTTATTTTCTTTTCTTTAAAAATTCAGATAAAACAATTGATAATAATGAGGCAGAGGGTTCTGGAAACCAATCCACAATTGCTGATGAGTTCAGTAATCCTCAGGTATTGACTCTGCACGTTATAGGTGGGGTGCAAGAACTAATTTGACTCAAATTTGGTACATTAATTTTAAAGGAAGACAGGAATTATTTGGCTCAGGAGCCAAGGGAAAAAAGAGAGAATACTCTCACTTTAATAAAAAATTGTATTATTCTTTCGTGATTCCAAATACAATGGAATGAAGGTTATTTATACTAATTTCAAGAAGACAAGAAATTAATGCTAATGGAGAGGTTATGGGATTTAAAAGTACTTAACAGAACTTATTGGGAGCTTATGGAAGTTACAAACACTCATTATAATTTATGGATAGGAAAGTTATGAAGATAGTAGGGGTTATGGAGATGGAGCACCCAATTCTGTCTCATTATTTAGTTATTCTTTATATTATTCTGACATATTGGGATATTTATGATTCAGTTTACAGCCTTACAATGATATATGCAGGATGTTGGTCTACATGCTAGACATGTCAGTACAGTGTCCACTGTGGAAAGTGGTAAGAAAGAGAGGCTTCAGCACGACTTTTCTTAGTACAATTGATTCTATGTATAATCACTGATCATTGTAAAATGGTTCCTCTTGTAGAAGTAAATGGTGAATCAGGGAATCCAATCTGGAAAAATAGAGTAGAGAGCTGGAAGTCAAAGGACAAAAAGAACAAGAAAAAAAAGGAAAAGAAAGATCAACCTAAGGCAGAAAATGAGGCCCCGATACCGCCAGAACAGCAGCATATGGAAGAAATACAGTAAGTTCAATGAGGAATGAAAGCACTTTTCTGAAGAGGATGATTTCGAATTATATCATAGTATCATTGTTTAGATACAGCCACCTGTGCAAAGCTCAAGTGGTAAAATAAGAAAGGCTGGGGAAGAGGTATTTGGATAGATACTTCCAAAAAAAGGGAAAAATTATGTAGGAAAACTGAGTACCAAAGACAGCAGAAGATGTGGTTTAGATTCTGAATTTCTGAATCATTTGAGAATGCCAACATTTTTCTGAGTGATTCTTTCTGATCTGATGATTATTGGGAAACATCTGTGAGCTAAAATCTGATTATAAACATTTTTTTCCTCCTAATGGGGTAAGGGAATAAATTTCAGACAGTTCCTCAGTGTTCCAATAATCATACAAATTCAAATCAAATTAACTTTCCTGTTAGAGACAAGTTCAGGGAATAATGTATGATCTGTCTGGCATGGATTATATTCATACCCATTGAGGTATTCAAATGGAACCAACCAATGTGGGAAGCCCCCTCAAAAGTTAATTAGTAATTACTGAGGTAGGAGAACTACCTGGTTTGTATATCCCATCGAGTAGTTCATACTACTAAATATGGCCTGTGAGCATCACATAGTACCTTGATTTCTATCAATTAGCCGCCTGTGAAAAGCTGGTGCCTTGACGACTATACTCTATGACACTTGGTTTTTGGCCTATCTGACCTCAGCAGGTAGCCGTTTTCAGTGATTCTGAGCAGCAGTTATGGCACCAAATGATAGGAATCCAAGTGGAGTGGGGAACCCTCTTCTAAAAGCTAGTTGTTGAAGTAGAAGAGCCACCCTACTTAGGTAACTCTAGAGCAGCTTGTACTGCTCAATATGAGAATTAGGCCTTCCATACTAACTTCATCCTTATCATCAACCTGTAGTCTTCCACCCTTTATACTTGCAGTCATTGTTTTTGCACAAGTGACAAGCAGAGGACTCATTGATTGGTTGGAAACATTGGTCCCCTTGAGTTAATCTTTTTCTTCTTTCTTCCCTTTTTTCCACTGAGAAGGAACGTCAAGGGTTGGATATCCACAATTCTCCCCTAACCTCTTCAAATTTAGGATTGAGGCCCAAAAGGAATATGTAGACTCTTTCACCTTTAACAATTTTTCTGGTAGTATTCTGATAAGGACCCATGATCACATATTCTGGGAGGAAGCCATATAGAGAAAGGAGTGGGCAGTGGCTGCAGGAACTTTCGGGTTTGGAGGGAAGTGGGTGGTGGAGAAAGCGAGAAGAGGGCACAAGCAAATTACCTATGGAGTTGCATAATTAATAACCCACGTTTCTCATAATGCGTCCATGTTTTTTCTTTGGTTAAATAGTTTCTTTGGCGGCTTCTAAAATTACCTTGGCTGTATTGCACTCTTGCTCAAGGGAAGGCTTTTACGAACTCTGGTTGTTGTTGAATTCACCAGATGCAACATGACTTGTTATATTCTACATGCCAAATGCTGTAACTGGGATAATTGTGGTCTTCCTTACCTTTTCCTTGAATTTCTCGTTATTGAATGAAAAGAAAGCCTAGTATTGATAGGGTTCTGAGTAAATTCTGACGCTAACAGATGATCCTTTCATATCTCAAGAGATAGGCTTACAAAAACTAAGTACATTCTGTCCTAAAGGCACTGAAACAGGGGAACAGAAAACATAGGGCACTGATGTTAACTAACAAGCACAAAGAATAAGGCATTTCAACATGCATTCTCCAACATTTATAACCATATTTATTACAATTTTGAGTGTGTGTGTGTGTGTGTGTGTTCGATCTAATTAACATGCTGATTTATTTTGCAGGCCATCATCAGAGGGTGCTGAGCCACTTTCGGCAATCATTCCAGTCTCAAGAACCAAAATCTTGCCATACAGAATTGTGATTATTATGCGACTAATAATCCTGGGGCTTTTCTTCCATTATCGAGTTACAAATCCTGTTGATAGTGCTTATCCTCTGTGGTTGACATCGGTCATCTGTGAGATATGGTTTGCATATTCCTGGGTGTTAGATCAGTTCCCTAAATGGTCTCCCATCAACAGGGAAACCTACCTTGACAGGCTGTCTGCAAGGTAAAATGCACGAACTTGTCAAATTAGTGCACATATAATGCCTTGTGTTTTGAAGATGGTTTTATTTAACTTCGAAATCAAATTTCAGAAGAATAGGTATGCTTTAGTTTTCTCCCTTTGAGTGACTTTATTCTGTTGGTTATTTGTTAGAGGTAATTTATGAAGGGTGAATCATACTTACTCACCCTAACCTTCAAGTCCCATTGTATGTCACCCAATTTATAGAAAAACAACAATTGACCTGATTATTTATTTCATTGCAATAATCCTCTATTGTCTCAATCAGACATTAATTCTAACTTAATTGAACTTATCTACATTGCAAATGCCTCCCTTACCAGATCATGCAAAAGTCTCTTGTGTCTTTTCCTCTCAGATTGTCAGTAGCGTTGGTGAAGGAAAATTGATTTTCTCGTAAATGAACAGGCGTGTGCAACTCATACATGTTCAACTAAGTATTTAACTTAATGTCATATCGACACAATCCTCAATTCTATTATGACATGGCAGGTTTGAAAGAGAGGGTGAACCCAATGAGCTTGCTGCTGTAGATTTCTTCGTCAGTACAGTCGATCCTTTGAAAGAACCACCATTGATCACTGCAAATACAGTTCTTTCTATCCTTGCAGTAGACTATCCTGTCGATAAAGTTTCCTGTTATGTGTCAGATGATGGTGCTGCGATGCTGTCATTTGAATCTCTTGTAGAGACAGCTGACTTTGCAAGGAAATGGGTTCCATTTTGCAAGAAGTATTCAATTGAACCACGAGCTCCTGAGTTTTACTTCTGTCAGAAGATTGACTACTTGAAGGACAAAATTCAGCCTTCTTTCGTCAAAGAACGTAGAGCAATGAAAGTAAGCATCTAGATCCACATGTCCTTATAACTTAAAGTATCTTAGGGTCCCTGGAGTTATGAGGAGAAGGGATTGGAAGGAATCATAAATATCAATCAATATAGATATAAAATTTATATCAAGTTGCATTATTCACAAGTCATAAACAGTGTGGCTCATTCTCTAGATTCTATGCAACGTACGGGGGCCCCACCTGCTGATTTGAAATTTTAAAAACAATTATCAATCAATATGATACTTGATAGTTTGTTTCTCCTTCAAAGTCCCCAACCCAAACTTGGGGAATTTAAGTTTATGTTAAGAGAGTGGGGGAGGAAAAGGGAAGAAAGAAATCCAAGGAAAATGTAATGAAGGAAGGGAAAAGATGGTTAAATGGAGGTTTTACTTCTGGATTGGGGAAACTTTTGTCCTCTAAACCTCTGAACAAAGGAAACTTAATATGTAAAAGGATAGAAGAGTATGAAGAATTTGAGAAGACTGGTGGAATTTTTTTTCATACTCTGCCTTTCTTTTTCACAAGCTCCCAAACAAGGAAAATGTTTCAATGAAACCATCCCTTCTCTTCCTTTTCCCCTCCACTTTACCCAATCCAAACGCATCCTTAGAGCAGATCTTCACAATTAGTTTTCATTTCTGTCTCAGAGGGACTATGAAGAGTTCAAAGTGCGGGTTAATGCTTTGGTGTCGAAGGCTCAGAAAACACCAGAAGAAGGATGGACTATGCAAGATGGAACACCTTGGCCAGGAAACAAGACTCGAGATCATCCTGGCATGATTCAGGTATCTCCATTTTGGCTTTTTTAAACCGTCCATTATTTTTTTTGTAAATCTCTTGAAATATTTGTAAAAAAAAATCTAATTATCTATTTTGTATCATGGAAATTAAGTCTTTCTTCTTCACCAACTCCCTTTGTGTTTCTTGTTTTCAATAAAGGAAAAAAAAATACCGATCCTTTTAAACCTTTAGATAAGAAAATTACTTTTGTATCATTTAGGTCGTTAAGAATCTCTTTGGCTCCCAATACCTATTAAAAAGAAATACTTGAGCTATTCTGTCAGGGTACCTTTCTGCTCCTGAATATAGATGTTATTTGCTCGCAAGACTCTAATGTTACTTTCCGTAGGCTTCCTTGCTCTTTGAAAAATCTGAATTTTCTATTGAAATTTCCTTTTCAGGTTTTCCTTGGACGCAGTGGTGCCCATGACATAGAAGGAAATGAGCTTCCCAGGCTTGTCTATGTTTCCAGAGAGAAAAGGCCAGGCTACCAACACCACAAGAAAGCGGGTGCTGAAAATGCATTGGTGTGGATAAATTGTAGTTTTAATATTTCAAGTGTGCATTGGTGTGGATAAATTGTAGTTTTAATATTTCATGTGTTTTAAGATTTTATGACGTCTTGATGTCCATTTTGTTTGATACAGGTGAGGGTATCTGCAATTCTCACAAATGCTCCCTACATTCTCAATCTTGATTGTGACCATTATGTTAACAACAGCAAGGCTGTTCGGGAGGCAATGTGTTTTTTGATGGATCCTCAAGTTGGCCGAGATGTATGTTATGTACAATTTCCTCAGAGATTTGATGGTATTGATCGTAGTGACCGATATGCCAATCGCAATGTAGTTTTCTTTGATGTAAGTATGAAGCAAGATATCCAAAGATGCTTGGTGATCTCCATGTTCTTTTTCTGTTATAATGAGTCCTATTCCTTTGGATTTTAGATGATTTTAACCCTATTTTTTTCTCATTGTTCATGACATAGTGCTGCTACTTAGTCATCACAATACTGAAGTAAAACAAGAATATATCATAGAAATATTCTAGGAGCTTTCAACCACTTATTTATATCAATATATCATGAGCCTGTAAAGTGTGTATTTATCCATTTCAGGTTAACATGAAAGGACTTGATGGTATTCAAGGACCAATGTACGTGGGAACTGGATGTGTTTTCAATAGGCAGGCACTTTATGGCTATAGCCCTCCGTCCATGCCCAACTTACCAGGATCCTCTTCATCCTGCTGCTGCCCCTCTAAGAAGTCCACCAAAGATGCTTCAGAGGTGTATAGAGATGCAAAGCGGGAAGAACTTGATGCTGCCATTTTTAATCTCACAGAGATTGACAGTAAGCTTAGTTAATTTGGTTAATCAGATTTTGTTAAGCTTATGGCAGAATCTTCAATATGTTATATTTTTCTTTCCTTTCCTTTCCTTGCAGATTATGATGAGCATGAAAGATCAATGTTGATTTCACAAAGGAGCTTTGAGAAAACATTTGGCTTGTCATCTGTTTTCATTGAATCTACTCTATTAGAGAATGGAGGGGTTCCAGAATCTATAAATCCCTCAATGCTGATCAAGGAGGCCATACATGTAATTAGCTGTGGCTATGAAGAGAAGACTGAATGGGGAAAAGAGGTCAGGCATAAAATGCTCCTATTCTTGTACAAAATGATGCGGTGCAAAAGCAAGCCTATCAGATGATAGCAAGTGGGATAGCAAGCTGGATAGTATAGGACACTTAAAACCTGTGTAATGTTTCTTAGGTGTTTGCTTTCAAAGTTTCTAATAAAAGCATAACAAATGGAGGAATATTTTTAAAAGAACTAGTAATGCGGTGTTAAGCTCTAAAAATATCCATTCATTTGTCACATTTTTATGAGAGCCTGATAGCAGATACTTGGAAATTATATTGGAGTTCTAATTTCTTTAACTGATTGTTTGTCATTCTTTTTTTTCCCCCAGATTGGCTGGATCTATGGTTCAGTTACTGAGGATATCTTGTCAGGGTTCAAGATGCATTGTCGAGGTTGGAGATCAATTTACTGTGTGCCAACGAGGCCTGCATTCAAAGGGTCAGCACCCATCAATTTGTCTGACCGATTGCACCAAGTTTTGCGATGGGCTCTTGGATCAGTTGAGATTTTCCTTAGTAGGCACTGTCCACTTTGGTATGGGTATGGAGGTGGCCGCCTTAAATGGCTGCAGAGACTGGCATATATCAATACTATTGTTTACCCATTCACGTCCCTTCCTCTCATTGCTTATTGTTGTTTGCCAGCAATCTGCCTTCTCACTGGAAAGTTTATCATACCGACGGTAACTTCTTATCTTTAGTTTTCCATCTAACACAAAATGTTATTGAGATATTTGTTATTATTCATTGCCCTTATAAGCATTTCAACCAAGTTTCCTATTACGTATAGGATACTTGCGGCCACAGAAACAAAGAAAACAATGTATAGCTAATCAATGTGGTTAGAATTTAATGTAGCAAATCCTGGACATGGTGCATAAGCATAAACCGTGAACCAAAGATTAAGGCACTACACCCAGATGCCACAAATGCCTTACATCATTTCTTTTTATTTTAATTCATTCAGCTTTCCAACCTTGCAAGTGTCCTCTTTCTTGGGCTTTTCTTCTCCATCATAGTGACCAGTGTGCTTGAGTTGCGTTGGAGCGGGGTTGGTATCGAAGATTTGTGGCGTAATGAGCAATTCTGGGTGATTGGAGGCGTTTCTGCCCATCTATTTGCTGTCTTCCAAGGATTTCTGAAGATGTTAGCTGGTGTTGATACTAACTTCACTGTCACTGCCAAGGCTGCCGATGACACTGAGTTTGGTGAACTATATATGATCAAGTGGACCACACTCTTGATTCCCCCAACTTCCCTTATTGTGATTAACATAGTTGGTGTTGTTGCCGGGTTTTCTGATGCACTTAATGGAGGATATGAATCCTGGGGTCCACTTTTTGGGAAGGTGTTCTTTGCCTTCTGGGTCATTTTTCATCTCTACCCATTCCTCAAGGGTCTCATGGGTCGTCAAAATAGGACTCCAACTATAGTTGTCCTATGGTCAGTTCTTCTTGCCTCTGTCTTCTCTCTTATATGGGTCAAGATAAACCCGTTTGTGAGCAAAGTGGACAGTACAACTATCTCTCAGGAATGCATCGCTATTGACTGCTAAGTCAATAAAAGGATGTGCAAAAGATTTGGATCGTGTTGATTATGAGTTCCTCTAAGTCATAGATATGACTTCTTTTTTGAACTGTTCTGTAGCCGTTTGGCAGTGAGTTGAAAATTTGTATACTTTTTTAAATTGGAGAAAATCCTGTGTCATCTTGTTTAAACATCAGGTTACAGTTTGTCTATGTAAAAATGATTGTATTTCCAATTGTGTATTATATATTGAGATAATACAGGGAATTGGGAATGATTGACACGCAGGACGTTGTTCTTTTTTCTTAGCATGGTATCTAACCTGTTTGGTGAACATGGAAGAGTTTTTGATATGGAAGTAGAAGTGAAAGAGAAAGTGGAAGAGGAAGAGGAGGTGATGTGGAAATGGGGTTTTAAAATATGCTTGGTGCATGACATGTAGAAGTAGGTTATATTTTATAAATGAATTAAGAGAGAGTGGATTCCATAGGTATGGAGGTGGAAGTGAGTTCCACTATTTTGATCGAACTGAATTCTTTAGAAAAGTGAGATTCACTGCACCAAACAACCTTTTATTAAACTAAAATGAATTTGTTAATTGTTCGTAAAAAAAAAAAATTTGTTCAGCTGTGCAAGTAAAGCTTGCTCTTTTCAGTTTGCCATCATTTCTAATGCTTGTAATCATCAAGTAGCTTGTGCCAAGGAGCTAGACGGAAAATTAATGACCAATTTGTTTAAGACTGAAAAAAAAAAGTGATTTTAGTTCGGTTAAACATGAGAAAGTTGTTATATATATATATATATATAAGGAGGTTGTTGAAAGAATTTAAGCCAAACACATGATAAATGCGTCGAGAGAAACTTATTTTGATTAGTGTTATGCTATGATAGACTTTTTTTTTTTTTGTAATTATTGATATTTTGAAATTTATCAATGATATTCTAAAGCAATTGTTGGAGAGCCCTTGAAGCTGTCTAATTTGTTATGTTTTGAGTGAGTACTTTGCCAATAAAACTGAAGAGCCCTATGCCTTACGTATCAATTTTTTGAAGAAATTCCCAAAAGAACAGACAAACCATTTCGTGCAAATAAGTAATGAAATAAAATTCCACGAAAAATGGTTTAGTCTTTAGCTTTGAACCAGTGGCGTACTACACGATATATTTCTGGTTCCTCTTTCTCTTGTAATTTTCATGTAAAAGACAGAAATGTCAATTCCAACCAGATGTCGAAACCATACAGTGATAATGAAAAAAAAAACTACTTCAAAATTAAATCGTTTTAATTAAATTAAAATAAATTCCATTTTCGGTGAAAAATTATTGAAATCTATTTTTGGAATTAATAAATTTAATATTTTTCATAAAATTGATGCGATAGTAATATTTATGATTAAACCATTCAACTGATATAACTAGCTAGATATCTTTCCAATTCATGAATTGTATTTCTGTAATATTAGATTCTTGAACTGATCTTCAATTGATAGTGAGCCAAAAAAATATCTTCAATTAACTATATATTTAGTTTATTAGAACACTTCCTAATCCATAAGTACTCATAATATGGTTGCCAAAAAAAAAAACGTACTCATAATATGAATTTGATATTGCAAAATAATCAACAAATCTCTTGCACAAGCTTCCCTCTTCATCAGTAACTAATGTCACTGACTTTCGCTTAGCTTGGACTATGAGAAAGAAATCTCAATGAATCAAAAGTTCTTCCAAGAGTTGATAATTTCTTGCATACAAATTTCAGAAAAAATAAAAATAAAAATTAATTAAAAAATAATGTTTTCATTTTAAAAATTAAAGAGAGAATGATAGTAAAGCCCCAAAAGAGAAAATTAATGACAATTAGATTCTCGATAAAAAAATTTTAAAAAATAAGTTGTAAATAAATATCCCTTGCAAATTAAGTTATATTTATAATTAAGATATATTATTTTCTATTGAAAATCATAAATGTGTAATTATTTGAATCAATATTTACAATTTATTTTTTAAAATTTTATTAGGAATTTAACTGTCATTAATTTTTTATTTTGAGATTTATTGTCATTCTCTTAAAATTAAAATCACTTTTTTCACAAACACATGCTGATTGATGGGAGCCTTGGCTCACTCAAAAATAGTGTAAGGAGAACAAGAAGTTCATTGAATCGTTCCTTAGAAACAATCTCATAGGAAACTTCAGTTTTGATGGCCACATTCATGAAATTTATAATACTTTGATTTGATCTATCAATGTATAATAATATATATACAACATTAATGATGGAACGTACCTTGATATGTATGTTTTGTGATTTCATCAACAAGAAGGTAATCTGCATAGCTTTGTCGATTGAATTTTGATGCTGCCATTCATCGCTTTGATCGATGTAATTATCATTATTTGCAATATGAAGAAGGCATATACATGGAATTGGCTAAGTGTTAATGCTACTTCACTTGATTCTTGTTTAGTGCTTTTGGAAGATCGTTTGTCATAGTTAATGTGAAGAAATTGATGACTTGTTTTGCCAAAGGCAAGCATTTTCCCTTCAACATAAAAAAGTTAATTAGATGGTTGATACAGATACAAGTTATTTACATTTAATTTCTAATTTGGAAGAATGAAAAATGAATTTCACTCAAATAGATAAATGATAAAAGAGAACTATAAAATAGGTAATTTATTTTAAGTCCTTAAAGACTTATTTGATATATATATATATATATATATAAATATTTCACGAGATGACTATAATTACTCCAAAGACATGACAACTTTAAGGTAGCAAATGACTAGTTCTATTATATTTCTCAATTTCATATAATAAGTGTTGAATTCTAAAGAAAAATGATAGCATTAGAATAGCGAATAATAATTTTATAGTGTTAAAAATGACTACTCCCATTTTTCAATTTCATTTTATAAATGTTGAATTCTAAAAGTAAATGATCGACAACTTTAGGGTAGAAAATAATTGCTTTTATTAAGCAAATAACTAAACTAGTATAGGAAATGATAATTTCTATTTTTCAATTTACTTGTTTGTTTATTGAAAGAAGTCATTTGCTACTCTAAATTTATCATTTACGTTTGGAAGTATCATGGTCATTTTGTGAAAAAAAATAATTACTATTAGATAAGTTATGCTTAAGGACTTTAAAATAATTATTCTGTTTGTGATCCTCTTTTATTATTTACCTATTTTAATGAGATTTATTTATCACTCTTTCTAGAGGATCATTAGCATGAGTATTGGTAAGAAGTTTCATTATTTTCTTACAGGATCCCCATAGATAGTTTGTTGGGAGGCACATAAAACCTTCAGAATGGAAAAAATCGCAGTTAAGGCATAATGCTTTTTGAATTGTTCCTCCAAATCCAAAGGTCCCAAATGCAAATATTTTTCTCCTTGAAAAGGTGCATTTATCCTTAATTACACGGATTATGTATAATAAACGAACATTATATTATTCATATATGGATATTGTCATGTTCTTTTCAAACATTGTGTTGTACGTTTACTTGAAAAACTTGTACATTATTATTTAATCTAATTACGCAAACTATTTATATTATATAGAATAAACAGACATTATGTTATTCATGTATAAACACTGTCATATTCTTCAAGGACATTATGTTGTACATACACATAAAAAACTTGTACATTTGGGGCAAATACATCTTTCCACATAGAACATATTTACATTTAAGACATTTGGACTTATAAAAATAATTCAAAATTTATTAGGCCTTAGGTGTGATCTTTTTCCATTCTAAAAGCCTTTGGTCTTTGGTGTGATTTACCTGGTTTATTTGATCCCAGTTATCCAACAAAGATATATAATAATGAACATAACTTATTAGGCCTTACAATGCCAATGGCCTTATAGTGTAGTGATATTGTAAGTTTTTTTTGTAAGTGAGAGGTTGTGAGTTCAATCTCACTTATAATCTTAGGCCGTTAGTGCTTGCCCCCTCTAATTAAAAAAAAAACAAAAGATATGAACATACTCTTTTCTATTTAATTAATTAAAGATATCCTATAAAACAAGTGTTGTAGGTTGCCGGAAGCTGCATACATTTTTTGTTTTTCACAATGCTTCGGAGTAGTTACTTTGCCAAGAAAACTTGAGAGCCCCGTACCTTACGTAATCAATTTTTTTGAAGAAATTCCCAAACGAACAGACAAATTTAAACCATTTCTAGCAAATAAGAAATGAAATAAAAATACCATTTGAAAATGTTTCGGTCTTTAGTTTTGAATAAGTGACGTATATATTGCTCCATTTATTTCAGATCTCTTTTCCAGCTTACTCTCATAATTTCAATTGACATATAAAAGACATAAACGTCCCTTCCAACCATCTATGTGATGTATCACACCATGATAATAAAAACACATGACTTCAAAATTATTTTGTTCTAGTTAAATTAATTTTAATTTTATGCTTATAAATTTAATAGATGTTATTTTTTAATAGAAATAGTCATAATTATAATCTAACTATTCCATTGATCTAATGATATCTTTTCATTTCATGAATTATGTTTACTATGTAAATAATATATAGATGATCGAGCGCTTCACTCAATAATGGACCAAAAAAGTTCTTCAACTATTATAATAAATTAAATGACAACTCATTTCTAATCCACGTGTCACGATATGAATTTTATTGCAAATTAATGAACCTATGGTGTTAGTATCCATGTATAATAATCAATGACATGTTTATATATATATGGGGTCAATATATATATATATATATATGAGAGGTATAATGTTGCTCTTCATGTATTAAAAGCAGAACAGTGTCGTTTCTTTGTTATTCATTAATTTGATCATAAATGAATGTAGATAATTTTATTTGAATAATTGTTTATAATAGTTCAAAACTTGCTTATAATGAAATAAATAATTGAAAAAAGTATTCAAACCACTAACAAATATACCAATAGAGCCAGCCCCATTGTATATAATTATTATTATTATTAAAAAGACCAACAAAAGTTGGGTTTAATAAAAAAGATTAGTTTTTTATAATATGACGAACTAAAGTTCAAATACTTGTTAGTAGAAATGCTCACATTTAGTATCCCACAATGTTTCGAACATATTTGTTTCAAACAAATTTATCTCCAATAGCACGATACATGTGAATTAAAAAGAAAATTATTTTGTTAAAATCAATATCGTAAGGCCACCTATTAGCCTGTGCTTGGGTGTTCAAATGTAACGGTTGTTGTTTCCGGCCTCAACATGTGAAACACCAAACACATAATGCTGGCACGAAGGGACGTTCACCAATGGCACCCATTACTATGAATCTGAGAGCCAACAACAACAGCATTGAAGTTTCCATATCTTCCTTAATATGGAAGCTTTAATTAATCAATAATTAATGGCACCCATTACTATGAACAATGAAGATCATGAATATATAAATATAAAGGGAGAACTATTGATTTTGTAGGCAAAGACAACTAAAAAAAAACATATAATTGTTAATAAGGAAGTTGTACTGGTACGTAGTATTGACAGAAAATAAATGACAAGTATATTTACAACTTGTTTAAGAATCTCATGAAAAATTGTTGGTAAAATATATATATATATATATATCATGAACAAGTGACTTTGTTATTTTGTTTTGTCCATGTATACAACTAACATCCATAATTTTTCATGCATGACTTAGCGTACATTAATCAATACAAGGGGTAAACATGAAATTATTTTTTTAGAATTGGAAGAAAGAAAATTAAGCATGATATGATTGCATATTAGTAACCTACATTTATGATCCTTAATATTTAACTATCATTAATTATTTTCATGTCTTGGGGACACAGGAGAAAAATCTAGTGAAAGACTGAAAACAAAATATCATTTTTAAACCCCTAGGTATTTGGTTCAATTGATAAAGGAATTGTATTAAATTAGTTGAGTTTAAATACAGCAATGTTAATGGTAAAACTTTAGCCTAAAAAAGTCCTCTCTTGATTTAATCTAAATTAACCTGCCATTGTTAAAGTCTTTTTAAGTTGACACGAGACGTTCAAGAAATTGATTGTTTTTTTTTTAAAAAAAAACTTGATACACTTTCTGAGACATTATTAAACAAATTTATGAGAATTCAAGATAATATATGAGAATTTAAGATGACATAGGTCGAACATCAAGTTATAATGCTCCAATCCTAACCAAATTGAACTTAAGCATCAATTCTCAAACATCTCAACATAATCTAAAATCTTGATCAAATGTAGAGATGCCCATCTTAGATAAACTGAAACAGAACATTTAGCTATAATTCACAATTCCATTCAAATGTGTGAAACTTACTTAAAATAACAGACTCTATACTTTATACCATTTCAGCAATCTACCTGCAAAATTAAAAATGAAGAAATTCCAAATCCCTACCCGACCTCCAATACACCAAATTCCTTTTCTATCATTCTTCTTCTCCCTTTCCTGGTTCTCTCTGTTCCTCTCTGCACTTCGCATGTCTTCTGTCACCACTGAGCCAAAATGAGTTCACCACTTTCACGTCCATGTCTTCTCATTCTCCTCATTACTTCCTCCAACATCTTTTCACCCACTTCTTCAAAATCAACTCTTGAACCGAACCAGCTCAGAGCACTTCAATCCTTCAACATCCCCACTTCAACTGATCCTTGCTCTGAACCCTCCTTCCACAATGTAACTTTCTGTGACTCTGCCACACCCTATCGCCATCTTCTCTCTCTTTCCCTCTCTAACTGTTCATCTTATCTCACCTTAACCTTCACTGCTCTGAAATCCCTCTCCACTCTCCAATCTCTTCACTTCCAAAACTGTCCTATCGTCCCCATCACCTTCCCTTCTGAGCTCATTGCTTCTCTCAAATCCTTCATCTGCATCAACAGCCTCCGTAAGCTTAGTAGCGTTTGGCTCTCACGTCTCGAGAATCTATCAGAACTCACTGTGTCCAACGTGCCTGTAAATGCTTCTGGTCTTGTTGTTATATTTGGACGTATGAAGAAACTCAAGTATATCACTATTTCTTACGCAAATCTCTCTGGCTTTCTTCCTAACTTCATAGACTCTAACGTTACCCACATCGATTTCTCTGGTAATCACCTGAGAGGAAGCATACCCACTTCGTTTACGAGGTTGGACAGTTTGGAATTCTTGAGTCTCTCGTATAATTTGCTGGATGGTGAAATGCCCACTTCCATTGGGGATTTAATATCCCTTAAAAATCTCTCTTTGGCTTCCAATTCGATTTCTGGACCCATACCCGATTCGGTTTCTGCCATTCCGGGTTTGGTCCACATGGATCTAAGCTCAAACAAACTGAATGGTTCGATCCCCAAGTTCCTCTCGCAAATGAAGGATCTCAAGCATTTGAATCTGGCGAACAATGATCTTCATGGGGTTTTGCCTTTCAACTTGAGTTTCATAGAGAGACTGGAAGTGTTCAGAGTGAGTGGGAACATGAATTTATGCTATAACCATTCGGTTCTGTCATCAAAGTTGAAACTTGGTATTGCTCCATGTGATAAACACGGAATGCCCATTTTTCCTCCACGAGGGAAGGATCTTTCTTGGGATGATCCAAGTGATTCATATTATGATGACTATGAAGATGATGATGGTGGTAAGGGACGTCGGCGTCGGCCTAATAAGGTTATTCTTGGTGTATCAATAGCACTTTCTTCCATTGGGATTCTGGGCATTTTCTATTTCCTCTGTTTCAAACGTCATTGAAGAAAAAAAAAAATTGATTTGTCGGTTTAGAGTTTAGCTTTGGAATATTGATAGATTGAGTTGGGTTTGTGACTACTTATTGTAAGATGCATACCCTCAGTTATATTGCGATTTAGGTCGGGATGATGGGACTAAGAAATATGGATTTTACTTTTCTAAGAGTCAGACAGAGACGTGAAATTCATCTCTCCTTATCTTTCTTTATTCTCACTTCAATTGAATTACTACTTCGAAGAATCAAAATTGGATCTTCAAAATTCACTTTGGTTTAAGTGAAGAAAGAGGCACAAAAACATGGGTGAATCTCTCTCTCTCTCTCTCTCTCTCTCTCTCTCTCAAAACACTTTCGAAGGTTTACTTTAGAGAGGATTTGCTACGTGGAAGTCAAAATAAATGGCTGCGATATTGTGTAAAACTAACCCTAGTAAATGTAGTAATCCAGAATTTTAACAAAATATCGGTGATTAGCTCATAGGACCAAAGGGTGAAAAAAAAAAACGAATAATTTCTTCCAAAAAAAACTTAAGAAAAATTTGAGTAAAATCATAATAAATTTTTAAGAAACAATTACCACGTGCTTCAGGTATAGTGCTCTAAGATACAATTTGTTGGACTTGTTAAGCATAACACCTTCATACTTAACTTGGAACCACTTCATTGCCTCCTCTTTAGTCACCCTGTGTTGAATTCCAACACAGGACTTGCATCTTCGGCGTCGACCAACATGGAATCCAGGGCGTTCTAGACCAACAGAGAAATCCATCCCATAGATACCAGTTGAAGGATCATACCTGAAGATAGAACAAGATCAGCCAGATTATGGCCCGGCAGTTAGACAAACTTTTCATACATGAATACTACTAACAAAATTTGTCAATCAAGCAATAGTATATGGGCTCATATATATTGATGGTCCCTACAAGAACAAATACATGACAAAATGAAAAACAGACAGTCACAACATAACAGGCATAAATAAAATCTACCATGACACAAGCATCGTTTGATGTACACAGAATAGTGCCTGTCACAAGGCCCTCACAAAGTGATTTGATTTTGACACAAAATGCATCATTATTAAGAAAACTTCAACCATAATTGACAAAAACATGAGAGCCTTTCAACCTTGATAACAAAGCGGATCACTTAAGTGAGTCATATCATTCTGGAAGAATATTTGGACCAAAAACGCATGCCAGTTATAAAACCAGAAACAAATATCAATTGTCCTGATAATGTAACAGTGTGAAACACAAGAAGACAGCAAAATTTCTCCAACATTTTGCCCAAATGACATGAGAATAGATAATTCAAGTGCTTTGGCCCACCACAAAAAAAAAAAAAAACAAGACACTTAAAGTGCAGTTAGTTTCCAAATCATAACATAGGACATATTTTTCATAATTCATTCTTTGATACTCGACTCAGATATTAATAACGTACTTGATTCCAAGATTAATATGTTCCTGAATACCAAATCCAAAACATCCAGTTTCACTGAAGTTTCTTCTCAACAATTCATACTCCTTCACCTTCAACCCACTCTCAAGAAGCTGCATTGCCTTCTCACCTCCGACGGCGACATAGCAAGCAAACTTTTCATTACGCCTGATTCTAAAAGATCTGAATACCTAGCTGTTAGGAGCAAATTAAATGAAAATGAAATAGTTCAATACCAACCAAAACTAGTCAAAAGGATCTCAATAATCTTACCTTTTGAGAATACTGGGCTTTGTCCGCTTAGTTGCTCCAACACCAAATCACAATACTGAAAAAATGAGTGATTACAGAGTAAATGAGGCATTTCTCAATTTAGTCTTTCAAAAACTTGCCTTCCTAATTAGGTCCTTCACGAATAAGGCAATTCTCAATTTTGACACTCACAATATTGCCTTCTTAATTAGATTTTTAAGATATAGATATTTCTCAATCAAGTCCTTCCCAAATTAAACTACTATAAGTAATGGTCCCTCACATGAGTATATCTGAATTTGATAGGACAGAAATTCGATAATAAATATATTTATTTAAAGAACCAATTGAGAAACACCTTATCTATGAGGCAAGGACTGAATTAAAAATTAAACAAGGAGATGGAATTTACACAGTGGTTATATAATACTAATCTTGTATGCATTCATTTAAATGAGTTATCTCAGGAACTGGCAGAGACATGACTCCATAAGTTATAAAACAATTTTAACATAAAGCATTATATTGATACAAATGCTATCGCAGAAGCATTCTGATCTCTCGGAATCCAATAAAGCAGAAATAGGAAGTTGGCACAAAATTAACCTTAGCAGCTCTAGTGAGACGATCACCACTTTCACCAACAGAGATGTTGATGACGAGCTTTTGGACTTCGATTTCCCTCATTGGATTCGAAGACTTCTTTTCCGAAGCCTACATTCCATAATCATTCATATACGCAATCACAAATAGTCCATGTGTGAAAAATAAACTTCATTTATCAATTTAAACAAAAAACCACAATCAAGCGATAGAAGTGTACCATTACGATGCAGATGAAAGAACAGATGAGAGGAGGGAAGGTTGAAGCTTCACAGTGATGACGGAAACATGACGTCAACGAACAAAGAGGCTGTTAAATGCAATGCAAATCAATGGTTGTTACTAGGGTTTCAGTTAGTGCGGCGAATCTCGCAAAAAGACTGTAATGCCCCTGTCATTGATAGCTGAAAAGGTCTTTCCGAAAAAACCATATTCCGTTGCCGGGAATCGAACCCGGGTCTCTCGGGTGAGAGCCGAGTATCCTAACCGACTAGACTACAACGGATTGTTAACCAGGGGCTATCAGATTTAATATTTAAAGTAAATTTAGCGTAAGTTTATCCAATAGTTTCTAAAATTTTAAAAATATTCCAAATGATGTATTGAATAACCTTTTAAAATTTATTTATTTGATGTATATATAATGATGAATCAAATTCAAACATTTCATGATCCAATTGAGAATAGCTTTTTTTTAAAATATTTTTGTTTTTTTTAAATTATCATAGGGTCAAACTTTTTTTTTTTTACTCAAAAGTCAGAGTTCTTATTGCTAGAATTAATTTTTTTTTTGTGTGTATTGTATGTTAGAGGAAAAAATTGTTTTAAGAAACATATTGGGAAGATCTTTTTGATAATATATGATCTCAAGAATTAATAATATGATCTTATTAACTTTTTTTTTTCATGGCTAAGACATGGCTCTGAATGTCACGATCTAAAATTTAAATTATGACTGGATATAGCATATAACTAAACTAATGTACTCCAGTTAGCCTAACTAATCTAAATAAATTATAACTTCCTCACAAAGCTCGAAAAATATTTTGCTTTGCACAACTTTTCACCATTATTTTCAAACAAATTCAACTCTCATTTTGATAATGAAACTGTAGTAGTATATGCACACAAAGTTGGATAATAACTCAAAATTTGAATCACGACACTTAAATTTTACATCAATATAATGAGTACTTGATCAGTAGCATTGTTGATGATTTATAAATTGTAAGTTTTTTTTAATATATAGATTTTATGATATATTAATTACATATTGCTGATTATTGATATTCAATCCCATAGAACTAATATATATTCTCCCCATCCAATGGTAAGCTAATAATCCCTTAGCATAATGGAAAAAATAACTAACTAATTAAATAGCACCCTTAAATAAACTTGAACGAATTTTAGACTTGAACGAGTTAACATATTTTTATTTTTATTTTAATTATATATTTATCTTTTATTTTTAAACTTGAAAGAATTTTCACTAGAATTAATAATTTTAAAACACAGACTTTCTTTCTATTCTTAAAATTTTATTTCAGCCATTTAACTGTTAGTTATTTTTTAAGTCACATATATTGAACTTAAATATGTTATTTTTTCATTTCCATCCTCTTTGAACATATATATGCTATCTAAAATTCATTCAAGTTTCTTAAAAAAATTTAGTGGATATATTTTTAAATTTTTTATGAAATATATTTTTTATCTTTAAAAAAACATAACTTTTGGTTCCCATATTTTGTTTACATTTTGTTTTTAGTCTCTGTACTTATTTTTAATGTTTTAGATCCCTACACTTTTATTTTTTATTGTCTTAAGTTCCTCCATAACCTTAGAAGAACCTAAGCAAATGAAAAATAAAAGTATATAAATCTAAACACTAAAAAAAAGTGTAGGAACAAAAAACAAAATGCAAGCAAAGTGTAGAGACCAAAATCTATACTTTTCTTTTATCTTTTTATTCATATTTTTAAATTTTTAGTTATACAAATTCATTTATTTAGTATTTTTTAAAGAAATTAAATACATAAATAGGCCAAAATGATATTTCTAACAAGTATGTACAAAAGCATTTAAAGAAATAGATTTTTAGTACAATAAGAGATAACTTAGTTAATATAATTAATGTATATTATTTAAAAAATTACAATTTTGATAAAATGTTTTAAAATTATTTATTTAGATATTGTCATACTTAATTATTTAAAGTTCCTTAAATTGAGAATAAAGAAAGAGTAGACAATTATATTATAAGGTCAAAATTAGAAATTTTAAATTTTTCAACATAATTTAAATTAAGTGTATAAATATTTGTATATTAATAATATACTTAATGTACTTAATTTTTTATTTTTGGGGTTGATAATAATTTTTCAAATATTTTTATAAATATATACTATGCTTCTTTCATTGTTTCTCAACACGCCTACTTACTATCCCTTTGTGTTTTCTCTAGCTTTCTCTGCTTCTTCTTCACCTCTGCAATTTTTGTGTGATGATTTACATTTTTTGATTTCATTTTTCATTTGTCTCTTCCAGACAAGAAAAAAATCCTGAATTTACTCTCATCACTTTTCACTCATGTATAAATAGTCTAACTTTTATATCTTTTCACTCAAACTTCTATTTTGCCTCCTTCCTCACTTTCTTCCTTCATTTTTCTTAAAACGCTTTGATTCAATCTTTGTTTGAGCACCTTTGATTTTGTTTTTACCTTTCCATTACCTTTTGATTTTGGCATATGCAAATTGCTTTGATTTTGTTCAAGTCTCTTTTGTTGGCAATGTTTCCTCTATTTTTTTCCCCTCGATTGGTTTCACTATTCTCAAGAACACATTCAAATTGTAAATCTTCTCATTCTAGTTTACGGTGAGATCAAAAATATAAATCTTGTGATAAGTTACGAATTCATTAAGCACTTGTTTGTGGCTCTATGTTTGAAGCATTATATCTATTTTTTTTAGCTATGTTTAGATTGCCTATGACTCTAGTTCACTTGCATGCCTAGCGATGATATGTTTCATAGCTAGACCTACAAGAGTGCTTCTCAAAGAAAGTGCTCCTATTGCCTCCATTTACAAGAGATTCTTGGTAGATCCACCTATATAAGTACTTTTTGACATAAGTGCTCCCTTAAGTGACCTTTAGGAGGGCTTCATCATATCATATAAGAGGGATCTCTCATCTTTGTTGCTTTCATCCTCCTTTTAGTGATTTATTGTTATCCATATAATTTGTTTTTGATTTGGCTTGGGAACTTTAATTATATATGAGAATTATGTTTGACTTAATTTGTTCAATACACACATTGCGTAATAATTTTATTCATTAACTACCTAAATTTAATTGTGGTTTCGTTTTTTTCTTTTTTATAGAACTTAAAATGGATAGTGCATATGATTTAGTTGAAAAGTTGTGGGACCTTATGCTCAACCTAACTTGGGAGCAGCTTCTTTATTTGGTTAAGTATCATGAAAACATTGAGAAGCTCAATGAACAACTTGTGGAACTCATGCTTGAACGAAGCTCCCTACAACATTGAATTAATGAGGCTACAAACAATATAGAAAACATTAAAGAGAAAGTTCAATATTGGTTAGACAGTGTGGATGATATATCAAAGAAAGTACGAGAGTTTCAACAAGAAGAGAATCAAGCAAAAACAAGATGTACCAAGTCTTCCTCTCCCAATATGAATCTGTGGCTACACTACAAACGAATAAAAGATCAGAGGCAACAGCGCAAGATATTATTAAGCTTCTTGAACAAAAAAGAGGCTTTAATGGAATTTCATATCCTACTCCTCTCCAATGGATGCCATAATCAATACCTATAGAAAGCAATGAAGGGATTAATTCAAGAGTGTCAATTATGAATAAAGTTATGGGGGCATTATAAGATCCTAACATTAACATTATTGGATTCATGGGTCTTGGTAGCGTTGGCAAGACCACCCTAGCCAAGGAATAGCAAAGAAAGCAAGGGATGAGAAGATTTTTGAAAAGGTGGTCGAGGCAGTCAATCTTAAAAACTTGAATGTTGGGCACATTCAAGGTCAGATTGCTGAGTGGCTAGGAATGAAACTTGATGCGAAAGATGAAAACATAAAAGCTACTTGTCTACGTGAGAGGTTGATGAAAGGGAAGAATGTGTCCTATTACTGGATGATCTATGAGGGGAGGTTAGTTTTGCCCAAGTTGGAATTCCCTTAATTGAAGGCAAAGAATTTAAACAAAAGAATGAAGGTTTCAAAATCTTATTGACTTCTATAAAGAAAGATGATAGACCCCATGGCACGGGTGACATAGCATTAATGGCAACAAAGCTTGAGGATAGTAATCATGAGTATGATAACATAGAAAGAGCCCAATACTTCCAATCCAACATACCTAAAGACCCATTACAATATAGTGGAGGCCCAATGACAAGAGCCGAACTAAAGCCATGAAACAAGCCTTGTTCGGTCTTATGCAAGAAGTTTAAGAGCTTGGAGAGCATTGGGACACTCCTCTCAAGCCCAAAGGAGAGCATCTATATGTGTATAATGTACTTAAAATTCAAACTCATAAAGAGTCAAACCTAAAAGATGCAGACCTTAGCCTAATGCAAGAAAGATTACAAGTTGAGCCTCTTACAAGTAAGGAGGCATGAAACCTTAGTGAAGAAGTCAAGGGTGGTGTGATTTTAAATCCTTTATGATCCCTTAATTTTTGTCTAAATTATTTTCTATTTTAATGGTCATTTGATTTGATTTCCTATTTTGAGTCTAGTTAAAAGTTAGAATTAATTATAGTATTAATTTTAAAATTTTGTAATCCTATAATTTTAGGATCACATCTCCTAAATTATGTGGCTGAATATTTTATCATTATTTTATATTATTTCTCCTTTTAGTATTAGGAAATTAGGGTTTTAATTTTAGAAAATATTCTTTTCTATGAGCCTATATAAATTAGGCATGCTCCCTCTTGTAAACGCAACAGAAGTTGAATAAAATTATTCATTTTAGAGTTTATAACTCTTGTAAGCCTTAATGCTTTGTGGTGGCATCCCGTGTGAGAAACAGACGTAATCAAGAGCATGATCAACTCTTGTGATGTCTTTAAAAGTTGAGGTTCCTAGAGGTAGGTACTCTAGAGGATCTTCTCCTTGATCATTATCCCATTATTTATTTCATATCTTTCTTTATTTTCGTCATAAATTTTGTCTCTTTCTTTTTGGTTCTTGTGTTTTTGTTGTGTTAGGGTTCTGTCTCTAAACTAGCACAATTCTACTTCCACGTCCCCTATCAAAAGATTTGCTACAAGACAAGATGAAATGCCAAATAATTGAAAAGGTGCGCGTCTT